TTGATAAAAATATTCATAACAGTCTGTTTATTGATATCCAAATGTTTGTTTTACAAAAATGCAAGTGGAAACATCATATTACAATAGGACACGTAATGCGAACTGGATGATTTTTACTATAAAATGTTACAAATGCACCCTGCTGATCACTAATTAAAATTCATTCATTCTTAAAAGAATCACGAATTAAAATCATGTGTTCACCACATGATCTTGATAATGTGTAACCTCCTTATTTGAGATTCGGATTCGAACACTATAGTATACATGTATGATATATAGGGTTATAGGTATATGAGAAGTATTAACAAAGGTAACAAATATAATGATTCTAATGAATACCAAAAAGCAATTGATTTTTTAAGAAAAGGATGTGATTGTGGTTGTTCTTCAAGAATTCCCAAAGAACAATTTGCAGAATTAAGGGAATCATTTCAAGCTCTAAATCAGAACAAGATATATTTTTAATGGCCTAACTTAAAGCAATGGATGGTGGATCAATAAGCACCAGCAGATGTCTTAAAAAGAAAATCAGATCTAATAAAAGAACTTTTTATCATTGAGATCATAATACACTACTTTGTCAAGAAACTTATCTCAATATGTTAAGAATTGGCAGAACTTATTTTGAAAATATCAGAAATCACCTAATAAGCAATGATCTTTTACCAAGAATTCATGTTAATATTAAAAAAATGCCTCAATGGAATACTAAGATGGTGATTGATAAGAATGTTGCAGAAATAGTAAAGAATTTTCTAGAAAATTATGCTGAAGTCCATGGATTACCAAGTCCAGGAAGAAGTAACAATAGAATAACCCAATCAATTGTGTTCTTACCAGCTGAAATGAGTTATAAATTGGTGCACAGGGATTTTCTAACCAGTCTGGAAGAAAACAGCAAATTGAAATCCTTAAAATATGATGCCTTCAGAAAATTATGACATCAATTGACACCAGAGATTCAAATTATGAGCCCCAGGACTGACTTGTGTGATACTTGTCAACATTTTCAAAATGGTTTACATTACAATGCTTGCCAAGAGGAAGAAGCTAAAGAATTGCTTAAAAATTTAAAGAACATCTATCCAAGGCCAAATTAGAAAGAAATTATTACAATAAAACCACTAAATTAGCAGAAGAGCAAAGAAAACTGGTTGATCAAAATTATTTCCAAGGTAAAACACAATATTGCAGTATTGATGCTACTGCTCATTATAGTTATGATTGAGCCCAAAATGTTCATGTACCCCATTCTGATCAACAAGTAAGTAAGATTTATTATCTTAGTCCATGCAAAGTTCATTTATTTGGCATTCAAGATGAAGCAGTAAGGAAACAAATCAATTATGTTCTGGATGAAGACAAAATTATAGGAAAAGGTCCCAATGGTACACTCAGTATGATTTTTGATGGAAATAAGAAATTGAATAAAGGTGAAAAACATTTAAAGATTACTTGTGATAATGCTGGAGGCCAAAATAAAAACAGTGTAACTATTTGATTTTATTTATATATATACAATAAAAATTACATAGATCAAATTTTTTTTTCAGAAAAATAAAAAAAAAATTTTACCACTCAGCAAAGCAAAAAATTCCTTCCCAAAAAATTAGGTTTAAAAAACAAAGATTTTTCAGTTTCAATTGCAATTGCAACACATTGCTTTGCAATTCAATTCAACACAACTCAATTTCAATGCAATTGCAACCTGTTTTATAAAACATTTGCTGTACAATACAATTTTTGCTAAATATGGTGAAAACATTGATCGTGCCAAAAACTGAAAAGACCAGGCATGGCTAGATGCAAAAGGAGACAATTGGTGAGAAAACTGCGCGGAAGTCACATGACTTGTGAGTTTTGGAAGGAGATCGTGATACGGCAAATGTTAAATCTTTTTTTGTGTTAATTAAGGGTAGGGGGAATAGCATAGTGGAAATTTGTAATGTTACACAAAATTTTTATATTGTGCAACATAGCTTTACAATACATGACAAACATTCTGGCAATATAAAGTAAGTGATAAACTGGATTTGAATTGGATCTGAACTTGATATCCAATTTAGGTAGGTAACAATTATATACTGGTGAAGTTTCAGGAGCAATGGGTTCTGTGTAACAACAAACTTCCACTATGCTAGAGGGAATCACGTGTCAATTTATATGTAGATTGGCGGCTCAAAAATTTGAATTATATGGTGTGTGTCACCTAAAGTCATCAAGAATTTATGAGTGATTTTAAAAGGGGTGTTCAAAGTTGTTCCGTTCCTGTTTCCTGTTCCTTGTTACACAGTCAAAATTAAATTTTATTGGTTGATCAGAAGGAACAGGAAACGGAACAGAGAAACAACAAATTTGTTGTTTCTCCTTGTTTCCACTTCCAAATTTGGAAACGATTTTTAAAAAAAAATAAAAAAATAAAAAAATAAAAAAATAATAAAATAAAAAAATAAAAAAATAAAAAATAAAAAATAAAAAATAAAAAAATAAAAAAATAAAAAAAAATAAAAAATAAAAATAAAAAAATAAAAACAAGAAAACAAGAATATCATAAAATAGCTTCTACTAATAATGTACAACAGCCTTGTCCAGTTCAAAGAGTAGCTTCTACTAATGACATGCAACAACAACAAAGCATTTATCCAGTTCAGTAACTTCTACTAATAATAATGATGTGTAACAACAAAACTTTCATCAAATTCATCCAATTCAGTTATTTCTTGGAATAGATTTAGAAACAATGCCTCTTCAATTCTTTCACAAGTTGACATATTTTTAAAAAAAATGCGTGTAGTTCAAGAAGTTATGGAAACAACTAGGAAATTTCTGCTCAAAGTTGATCCTTATTTCCATTACCTAATAAGGTATTGTACAACAAGGAACAGGAACAGGAACGGAACAACTTTGAACACCCCTAATGTCTCACGGGAAATAAAATAATTGAATTTAGTAATGTCTCACGAAAAATAAGGTAATTGAATTTAGTAATGTGTCGCGAAAAAACAATTTAGTAATGTCTCGCGAGAAATAAATTGAATTTAGTAATGTGCCACAAAAAGTTTAAAATAATTTTCTTGTAAATAAAAGAACTAGGAATTGTACTTTTGTTTGTAATAATTTATTAAAAAATCATTTCAGCTAAAAATTATTTTCTCAAATTTTAATTAAAAAAAATAAAAATGTCATCAATTGATCAATCAAATAAAACAAGAAAAATTTGACTTGGGGTGAAAAAAAACAACTTTGTGAATTTAATGAAAGAAATCCATCATTCACATATAAAGAACTTGGTCAAAAATTTGGAATTGCAGAACCTACTGTTTGCAAGATTTTAAAAGATAAAGATAAATGGTTATCTATCAACCCTAATGATACCAATAGACAAAAAGATAAAGCTGCAAAATATCCTGATCTTGAAAGTGCATTGATGATATGGTTCAATCAAGCAATTTCAGATAAAAGAGTAATTACAGGTGATATAATTCTCACTAAAGCTAAAAGATTTGCTGGATTACTAGATATCAATGATTTTAAAGGTTCAGATAGTTGGGTGTCGAATTTTAAGAAAAGAAATAACATAAAGCAGTATGTTACGCATGGTGAAGCAAGCTCTGCACCTTCTGAAGAAAGAAGATTACAAGAAATAATTAAGGAATTTCCTTTAGAAGATGTTTATAATTGTGATGAAACTGGTAAAATAATTCAGTATAATTATTATTATATCATTTATAATAGACTAACTAAGTATTTATTTTATTAGGCTTGCTCTGGGATTTAGAACCT